AGGTCAAGGTCCTTATTCTGCATTCGTTCTCTTAACAGTATTCAGTAGACCGACAAACCTTAGGCGAACTGACTGATGTACAATCATTTTGGCTATCCTCTCTCCATCAGTGCTTCTTTTTACGGGCATTAAATACCACTTATTAACCGAGAGTGAGGTCATTATGGGAAAATCTCTCTCCCACACCTTCATGTATTGACCGAGTGATAGCGATGATTGACATTCCCAAGTTTATTAATAATAAAAGAAGAGCAACTGGCAAAGGGACTGACTTGTAAATTTCTACCACAGATTTATAGTTACCGGTATAAGACAATGTTCGAGGTCTAGACCAATGGACAGGATTGTGCTATGCTTACAATGAACTTTGTGTCACAGCAAAGGACATTAAAAATGTATAGCATTCACTTGTTTAGTCCTTCAGAAAAGGCAAACAAATTTGCCTCCAGACGGTGATGACTAATACTACAATGTAACTATTTATAAATTTAATACCTAAAAATGGTACAGTGAAAAGTCCAAAGTATGTCACATATAGATGCCGATATCTCACGTTCCATCAACTGTATTTATAATAATGTATGGCAAAATTTTCTCAGTAATGTTAATCAAGCAGTGTCAAACATGGTATTGTAAAAGAGTCAAGTGGAGTCAAGTCAAGTTTAGTCAAGCCTTGTGGCATTGAGTTAATTTTAAGCAAAGTACAGGCAACAAGAATAGAACAATGAAGTTGAGTTGAGACAAGTTTGTTGCAGTTTAGACAGAGAAGAGTACAAGTATAGAGTAGAGTAGAAGTTAGACAAGCAAGTCAGACAAGCAATGTAGAGAGAGAGATTGGAGTAACTGAGTAGGTGGTTGGTTATGCCAGACTTCATCGGTCGGTTGCTGGCTGCGCGGCCTCATGCGCTGAAGCTCGCTTCCATCACTTTTAAGAACATATGAGAGATCAACTGGTAGCAAGTCTAATAGGTGAATAGAGTAAATGGAGTGAATTTGTGTACAGTTAGAAAATCAGTGTGGAGAACAGATAACTGGAACAGTTCTGTTTAGTGAAGTATAGTTGAGTCAAGTCCTGTTGCAGTATATAACTTAAAGGGCCTGAGTCAACTGGCGAGCATGCGCACTGAGGTTAATATACAAATTACTTACATCCCTTATTCTGTCAAAATTCTATTGTTTTTAACATGTGAATTTCTTTGTCGCGTACAGAGCACTGAAATTTTACCGCGACGTTTACAAGAGCAGAGGGTTTGGATAAGGGATATTTTTATAGAATTTAGAATTATGGAACGTTTCTTCTCTGCATGGTTATGCTAGCTCAAGTTCCCTCAATTTCGTCGTCAAGAGTAAAAGTGTTAAGATAATTATACTTGTAGTTTTGAATTAAAAATGCAAGTCATTCAAAAGAATAGCATTCCAACAAAAATTCAACAACAACATATTGTCATAGTCAAAATAATAAATCAAAGTTTTATTTTATAAACGACCTACAAAAGACTCTAGGCCAAATATAAAGAACAAGACTGTTTGAAATCTTTAACAATAATATTACACTTGTCTGTCACTACATATTTTACAACTTTCATGCTGACAGAACAAAAGCCACGGTTTTGAGTCTTTTTTTATCCTCAGGCTACACGCATTGATCGAGCAAAATTGTTCGATCGTGTCGAATCACTGTCACATTGAGAAAAACAGAACCAAGTATATTGGTATACTACTCCATTCTAAGCAGTCCATGAATAACGAGGGAAAGTAAACTTTGCTATTTTCCAAAAATCTGAGCAAATATACTAGAACACAAACAGTTCAAAGACAACATTCACAGATACTGGTGCCTCTCTAAGTCCGTTAAGAACGAGCTGGACGAGCAAACAGTCGTGTTTATCCTGCTGCGAATCAAGGTTAAAACGAGAAGAAATGTAGCCAAATTCTATAACGTTTCCTTTACCAGAAGTTTAGTTTTGTCACAAAACTCATGGCCATGCTGTTGTAATCGTTTACTCACTTTGATAAAAACAGCTGCTGCCAAATTGATAGCCGCTTCATTATATGTCTACAGACTTTGAGCACCAAAAAATATCCAAGAGTCAGCGGCCTCTAAAACAACTCAATAATAATAATAATGATAATAATAATAAAAATAATAATAATAACTTTATTGATATTGCACTCATATCCCGAGCTCATGGTGCTTTACAATGTAAAAAAAAACCGGATGCTCTCGCAGGCTATGTAAGAAAGGGAAAGAAATGAAATAATTTACTTATCAGAAGCATGAAATAAAAATAGTTAAAATCTATTTACAATCCATATATTACAGGTCTTAAAATCTTTTTGTAAAACAATAACCCACTCTCTAAAAATTGCCTAAAAAGATAGGTTTTCAATCCTTTCTTAAAACCAGTTAAAGATGGTGACTTGCACAAATCTAATGGTAGTGAGTTCCACAGTTTAGGGGCACACACTGAAAAAGCCTTTTCCCAAGACGTTTTCGTGAATGATCGATTTTGTTCTAACAGCTGCTTCGATGCAAACTGCAAGTTCCGGAATGTGATTGATAACAGAAGTCTGTCTGCAAGAAAGGTTATTTAGTGATTTGAAAACTGGCGAAAAAATTTTAAAAACAAATATATAACAACTAACATGAAGCCAGTGAAGGTCAAATAAAACAGGCATAATGTGATCAAATTTGCCAGTCTGAGTAACGATTCTGGCGGCAGTGTTCTGAACATATTGATGCTTCTTCAACTGCATTTCCCTACAACCGTAGAGCAAGGAATTGCAATAAACTAGTTTAGATGTTATAAAGGCATGCACAACCATTTTGCTAGACTCCTGTGTGAGATATTTTCGTATCTTTGATAAGTTCCTAAGCTGGTTAAATGATGATCTGCAAATGTCAGAACGGTTCTGTTGACTATGAGGAAAGATTTCTTCTAAGATTCCATCACTCATTGTGGAGTAACAGTTGTTTTTTCTCTTTCGGCCGCTGCCAGCAAAACGGTCACTGATAAGAGCACACTGTAAAATCCATGTACAAGAAAACTCCAAGGGCAAACAATTATTAAAAAAGGCAAGAAAGTCTTCTGTAATCACCATGGAACGATTCTTAATGCAACTGTCAAACAATCGCTGAGAAATAAACAGATTAAAACAGCCTTCCAGAATCTCTGACAGAACTCGAAAATGTTGGGCCAACTTTTCCAAGCTTGTTTTCATTGGCTTGTGCATGCGCCATGTGTGACATAGTCCCTTTAATTGCAAGCGGTGCTGGCAGTTATTGTAAATAGTGTGGAGTTGTGTAGGACTGTCGAATTGAGTAGAGTGGTGTATGAGAGTTAGTAAGATGGTAGTTTAACAGGGGTGGATCTAGGGGGAGGGTGCAGGGGGTGCCCCCCCCCCTGGAGATGGCCTGCGGTTTTCTAATACAACTGGCATTCTGCCAAAAAAAAAACTATGTGGTTTATTGGTGTTGAAGTAGAGCAAGAGACGAGTGCACCCCCTCCTAAATAAAATCCTGGATCTGCCCCTGTTTAAGGTGTGGTCTTTGTGGTGGTAGTGGTAGTTGTGATTGTTGTGGCAGTGTCTTTAGTGGTGGTAATTGCTAGTGGTAGCTGAGAGGTCTGCTCTAACTGGAACTGGAATGGAAAATGTCCCTCATCAACCTCCACACAGCCGAGATGGGGAGGTGATTGCTTCTGATTAGTGTCCAGCTTCCGAGTTTAGAATAATTTATTTTTTCCTTTAAAATGGAGCCATGAAAAATGAAGAACTACTCAAATTAGCATTTTGCAGTGTGTCTGTAGTTTGATTGAAGGCTTTGTAGAGCACGTTCAGTGTTCTATTGTTGTTTCTAGCTCTGGCAACTGACTGTCTTGTGATACATACTTTTTCCTGAGTGCAAGTGCCTTGATTTTACACTTTTTAATGCTCTTCTGTTGTTGATGGAGCTTGTCCTGCACATGTTTTCCTTTATTTTGATCCTTTTAATACTAAATAAGAAAAATACTCACACGAATGATGGTAGAGCTGATAGAGGATGAAAGAAACTCCGTCAACATTTTCTATCAATGTTTGTGCAAGCTATATCAATGACAAAGTGAATACAGTGGCAGATCCAGGGGAGGGGCCGGGGGGCCCGCCCACCCCTCCCCCCTTATTTTTGAACCAAACTGAGGCCCAAAGGGCTGAAAAATTTTTTTTTTTAAACCAGGCCCCCCTTATCTCAGGGTCTGGATGACCGGGCCCTCCCCTTATCTGAAGGTCTGCATCCGCCACTGGAATATAACAATGTTCCTCCACTGAACGGAGTCAGCCAGTCAGAAAATGCATTAAATGGAATCTATCAAAGATCTTTAAAAAAGATTATTTACTGTGGAAAATGTGTCCTAGAGGCAAAAACAACTTTGTTGATTGGAAAAGGTAGTACAATAGTTTTAGTCTGGGAATTATTATGAGATTGAAATTGACCTAATAGGTAGTAAATAACCTATTATATACTGGTAATCTTCCTCAGTGAAAACTTGCATCGACCTGTGGCTGTTTTATGTTCCTGATTGTCTAATAGATGGAGAACTCTTAGTTTGATGTCCTGAAATGCTCAATGAAACTCTAACTTGTTTGACAGTTTTATCTTCTAAGTAACCTAAGAACATTCCATTCATACACTTAAAAAGTTAGAACATCTTTCCTAAGATAGAACTGCTTTCTAATAATTGGTAACAAACTAAAGTCCTTTTAACATAAATGCACTATTATTGTACTTTGTAGCCCTGGAAATAATCCTACAAGCAAGGATTTGAAAAAATCATGCAACCTTCATAATATCATCCCATATATATCTCTCTATTATTATCATTGCATGGTATTTTAATTATTGAATGTGTACTTAGCACATTATATTTTCCCCCACTGGGAAAGTAGTAAAAACTGTAAAATTATAATATGCCAGAAACTATAAGGCTCTTTTCTAATTATGTAGTTGAATTTTGTTCTTCAGATGTCAAACTCAGAAGGGAAACAGAGATAAGCTGGCCTGGAAAGGACAATGGCTGGTAAGTTAATTTACATGTTCAGAGTGTGCTGTTTCAACTGGCTTTGTATACACCTGATTGAAAAGACATCGTCTCTTGAAAAATATAAACCATGAACGATGGCGCCTACTAGATTTATGGGTAGAATTTTATTAGCGTTGCAAATTTAAAGTTCTTTCCAGAAGAGGTTTCCTTGTCAAAGTTTTTGGGGAAGGGATGTTTGCATCTTCTTCTGTACAGGGCACATCAGAGATCTCTATAGTTAAAGTGCTAACGCACTCTTGAAAATCATAATATAGGAGCCAGAAGCATTTTTGGAAGACATAAATAGACCATGGCAGCTGAAACAAGGTAATCTAGGAATTTGCATCTGCACGAGCAGCTTGTGACGAGGTAAACTTTTTTTAAAGAACTTTGAATTTGCCTTGCTACTGAACGTATACCATAAATCCTTGAAGCCTCATCATTCATGGTTTATACTTTTTAAGCAACAATGTTTTTTCAGTACTCAGGTATACGGTCAACTGTAAATTCATATTCTGAGTTAGATGAGATATTGGTTGGGTTTTCACCTATCTTGACTGCACTACTTAAATGCCAAATCCCCACCATTACTGTGATGTCATAGACACTATGACCCATTCAAAAGGATTAGATGCTTACCATACAGATGTTATTGTGTTTGTTATGGTAGGATATCTGAGACATTTCATTCGGGATTGAAAATAATGCCAATAGTTGAATCAAAATTGATTCTACTCCCATAAAATAAAAATGATGTAACGTTACTATTAAATTTCAGTGTAGCACACATTCTTGTGGTGATAAAGGACAAATAATGCTGAAAATTTATTTCATCAATCAAACCATTCATCTCCATATTGTTTCCATTCAACTGTTGAGGATAAAATGTGATAGTGAAGTAAAATTAATATTCCCTTAGCTCCTTCCCTTAAACTTCCAAATCAATGACCACATATATGTAAAAGAAAACAACAAAACATGAGAGTCCCTCCTTTCAGATTTTATTTCAAGGGAGTAATACAGGTAACAACATCTAATATGTTGCATTGTTTTTACCCATTTAGCTGTCATGTTATGTGGTGAATTTTTCTGGTCAACAAGAGGAGGAGATGTCTACTTATATAATGGGGTGAGTCTATTCTCTATTTACTAAGGTCCAGCTGTTGGTGATAAGTTAGGACTACTGAGGTTTTCCCTTGCTTGTGGATAGATTTTCCATAACTGAAGTGATAACTTCAACAATTAAAATGACTACAACGAATTGAAACTAGGGAATGACCACCCGTACACTTGAAAGTGTACTAAAAGAGACAGTCACATCAACCACGATAGATGCCAGAATTTGTTTGGACAACATGCAAAACAACCATCCGCCAAAAAGACCTACTTTGTATAGAGTTTCCCTTACTTTCAGTTCAACAATCACACAAGCAAATAAACAAAACACCAAAATTGACCATCCATGCATTGTAGTATATCCAGAAAAAGGTTCTGTCATTACAAGATAAGGTAATAGAATATTATTAATCATGAAGATCAGATCATATGTTAGGAGTATCAATAAATCCATAAGTACAACTGGTCCTCCAGTTTAGGGGTTGGGCATGGGCCCAATAACTGCACCCTGGAAAACAACAACATGTTACTGAAACTGGAACAGCACTTCACCCATAGAAACCGTGGGTCCAATATGAAATTCAAACCAAACCAGAGGCACCAAAAACATTTGAAAAATATTATGCAACTTACAAAATATATATAACATCCCATACATCCCATTATTGTTATTATTATTATTATTATTTTTATTATTACATGTCATTTAAATTGCTGAATAAGACGTACTAAGTCTTAGCATAGTGTATTACTCCTCTAGTAAAAACTGTATGCCAGAAACTATAAGCTTCTTTTCTAATTATGGTGCTGAATTTTGTTCATCAGATGTGAAGCTCAGAAGGGACGCAGAGATAAATTGGAAAGGACAATGGTAAGCTAATTCATGTTCTCAGAGTGTGTTGTTTCATGTGGCTAAGTTTATATTCAAGGTTGAGGAAAATTCATGATTCATAGTAAAAGTGAGATATTGGTTGGGGTTTCATCTATCTTGACTCTACTACTTGAATGCCAAATCCAACCATTACATGTCATAGCAAGCACGTTCAAAAGTATTGGATGCTGACCATAATTATAGATGTTATGGTGTGTGTAATGAAAAAATTTTTACACATTTCAATCAGGATTGAAATTGTTCCTAAATTTGACTTCCAAATCAATGTCCACAGACACATAGAAGCAAGAAAAAAATCAGCCATTTGGCTCACTTTTTTCAGTTTATTTTCAGGGATTAATACAGATAACAACAACTAATACACTGCATTGTTTTTTACTCACCCCAATTAGCTGTCATGTAATATGGTGAGGAGGAGGAGCAAGAGCTGATGTCTTCTTATAAAATGGGGTGAGTCTATTCTTTATTTACTAAGGTCCAGCTTTGTGGTGATAAGTTAGGGCTATTGAGGTCAATTTTTCCTTGCTTGTGGGTGGATTTTCCATCACTGAACTGATAGATTCAACAAAACAACTACAACAAATTGAAATGAAGGAGTGACCACCTAGATACATTGTAAAGTGTACTAAAATACACAATCACATCAACCAAAAAACAATAAAATAAGTCAAAAGATGTAGAAACATGCCAGTAGATTTCAGGACAACATGCAGAACAACCAAACAAACCAACTGTATATACTGTGTCCCTTGCTGGTAGTTTTAAAATCACACAATCAAATAAAAAGAGGATACAACAAAACACAAAACTGACAATCCAAGAAGAAGTTTCTGTCATAACAATGTAAAGTAATACAATTAATCATAAAGATCAGATCAAACGTTAGGATTATCAATAAATCCATAAGTACAACTGGTCCTCCAGTTTAGGGGTTGGGTGTCGGGCCCACAACTGCACCCTGGAAAACAACATGTTACTGAAACTGCAGCAACATTACCCACAGAAACCCTGGGTCCAATATGAAATTCAAACCAAACTAGGGGCACCAAAAAACATTAAATGTTCAAATTTTGAAAAAATATTATGCGCCTTGCAAAATACATGTATCATCCCATAGTTCCCTCTATTATTTTATTATTATTATTATTATTACTATTATTACATGTCATTTAAATTACTGAATAAGATGTACTTGGCACAGTGTATTATTCCTCCAGTAAAAACCGTGTGCAACAAACAATAAGCTCCTTTTCTAATTATGGTGCTGAATTTTGTTCATCAGATGTGAAGCTTTAAGAAGGGACACAGAGATGAATTGGAAAGGACAATGGTAAGTTAATTCATGTTCTCAGGGTGTGTTGTTTCATGTGGCTTGGTTTATATTCAAGTTTGAGGAAAATTCATGATTCATAGTGAAAGTGAGATATTGGTTGGGGTTTCACCTATCTTGAATCCAAATCTACTACTTGAATGCCAAATCCTACTACTTGAATGCCAAAATCTAATACTTGAAATTGAATGCCAAAAATCAAAATTGGCGAAATTGAATGGTAAAATCTACTACTTGAAATTCTACCACATTGAATGCCAAATCTACTACTTGAATGCCAACTCCAACCATTACATGTCATAGCAAGCACATTCAAAAGTACTGGATGCTGACCATAATTATAGATGTTATGGTGTGTGTAATGGAAACAACTGTAGACATTTCAATCAGGATTGAAATCGTTCATATATTTGACTTCCAAATCAATGTCCACAAACATGTAGACGAAAAAATTCGGCCATTTGGGGTCACCTTTTTTAAGGAAGTAATGCAGATAACAACATCTAATACATTACATTGTTTTTTACTCACCCTAATTAGTTGTCATGTAATATGGTGAAATTGTTTGGTCAACAAGAGGAGCTGATGTCTGCTTACAAAATGGGGTGAGTCTTTTGTTTATTTACTAAGGTCCAGCTATGTGGTTCTAAGATAGGACTACTGTAGTCAATTTTCCCTTGATTGTGGATAGAAGTGATAAATTCAACAAAACAACTACAACAAATTGAAATGAGGGAATGACCACCTAGATACATTTGAAAGTGTACTAAAATACACAATCACATCAACCAAAAAACAATAAAATAAGTCACCAGATGTAGAAACATGCCAGTACATTTCAGGACAACATGCATAACAACCATTCACCAAACAAACCAACTGAAAACAGTGTATACTGTGTCCCTTGCTTGTAGTTTTACAATCACACAAACAAATAATCAGAGGATACAACAAAACACCGAAATTGACCATCCAAGAAGAAGTTTCTGTCACTACAACATAAAGTAATACAACTAATCATAAAGATCAGATCAAACGTTAGGATGATCGATACATCCATAAGGTGCAGGGCTAACACCCACCCAAAAAATGACAAGATGTAACTGAAACTGCAACAAGAGTATCAACAAAAACCCTGGGTCCAACAGGAAACTGTAGCCAAACCAGTAGCACCTGATGACAATATTGGAGATAAACGCCTGTGTCCAGAGGTCCAGAATTTGAATCAGAGCTTTCTGGGACCAAAAACTACCATCCACATTGAAGCTCCATGTTCGAAAAATTCCCAAAACAGTGCAGGGCATCGAGGAATGCAGAACTACAACTTGGACATCCTCTGTGTGAGCAAATGTCGGTGGACTGGGTCTGGACGTAAGGTGTCGTGCAGTGGCTCAGGTAACGTTTTCTGAGGAAAAGGCATTCAAGGATTTGCCTCGAGATTTTGCAATTTTACCTTTTGCGGTGTTTATGTGCTCCTAGCTGTGGGGTAGAGGAAGAGGACAATGATGGCTTTTATGAGCAACTGCAACTGCAGTCTCCAACGTCCCACAGCGTGACATGATATTGATCACCAGGGATTTGAATGCTAAAGTTAGAGATGATATCACCAGGAAAGAGGATGCAATGGGTTGGCACAGTTGCAGAACCATTGACAACACTGGAGAACGATTTGTTGAATTTTGTTTTGACAATTGCTTCAGAGCAATGGTCAGGAAAAATCCAGCAAAATCTTGATTTCATGGCGGTAGATGAATAGTCGATTTCTTTCATTTTTGGCCTAGATGAATAGTCTTTTTTGGTGAGAAAATTAAAAATCAGTTTTCGTTGTTGATATAAATGGCCTCATTTATTTGACATTCGCTAATAGTAATTTTTATTTGGTGGAGACATTAGACACTTTCCATGAACAAAACAATTATTTTTTTCTTTCACTAGAAGATACGTTCATGGCAATAGCAAGACATATTGTACTGAAATAATTTAAAAATGTGGGATAGGTTTTTAGGTTATCAAAAACTTAGGTCGTTACTCATTTTCAAGGGCAAATATTTAACATGTCTTATGGAAACCAAATTCTCTTCGTGCTATTTAAATGACATGTTTAGACATTCATCTAAAACGTACCTGAGAATTGGCTTGGGTTATTGAAGGAAATCTTTGTAAGTTCAGGAATTTTTATAGTGGACTGGTGGTAATTGTGTTAACACCTCCAATTTTGAAACTTACAATATATCAATAATCTTGAAACTAAAAGGTCTTATAAAAGAAAGGTTAATCTCAAGAATCTTAAATTTTAAAAAAAATCTATCGAGCGGTTTAAAAACTATTCGCTATTTTGTTAAAGAAGACCAAAATGTTTACACAACCGCTAACAAGAGCGCTTCGATACATGCTAATAAAACCCTTCTTTCTAGCAATCGGCTGGAGCTATCTCCATGATCTTTCACACACATTTTTAAAAAGATTGAAACTACTATGACGTGAAATTGCATGTAAAAAGGGCTTCACTTTCTACAGATAACGGCCAAACAACAATATTGTCCATTTTTACTGTTTCTAACCACAAAAACGTCATCCCAAAATATCTCGATAACGCTCTTACAGATTTCGCTTAAACTTCACGAACATCGAGGCCGCTATTGGAGGAAAAAGCTCCCGTGAACGATTTGGAAGAACAGTTCCCAGTGCCGAGATATACTGCTGCAAGTAAAATGGGTAATAGCGTCATTTCGTTGCTATGACAACTCCGATGCCGTTGCAACCCTGATCATCACAACTTCTCATCTTTATCTAATACAACTGTGGTGGTAGCCTGCGTCGCAGACGCTCTAAACCTTCTGTATATAGCGTCTGCGAATTAGTGCACAATATAGTGTTCGAATCCCGAAGAGTCGCAAAGAAATATGTCGGCGTTATTGATTGGCTATTTTCTTTCGCAGTTTGTGATTAGTCCGATTTGAATTAAGCGTTGACAGGCCAAACATGACTCATAGCTCGTGACCAGAGAGATTGAGCTCGTGATAGTGTGAAACGTGACTTTAGAGACCCCTAGAGTAGCCTGAACAACAGATGTTTTTCTTCCTCTCTTTTTGCGTAATTTATACAGTGCGTGGAGTATTCTACAATTTGACTGAGCAAATTTTTTTTTTGCCGCTTTGAGTCTCACCTTTAGCTACATTTAGAGGATGTGAAGCTGGTCTGTTTCATACATATTGAGTAATTAGTTCCTGTAGTTTATTTTTTGGCAAATGTTTTCTAAGACGATTTGATCACAGATGCATAAATGATTTTCTTTTACCTCTGATTAAGCCTTAAGCTTCTTTATTGCGGCTAAATAACCTTAGTTTCTTTGGTTTTCAACGAAACGCTTGGACCTGAATAGCTACATGTGTGTAGTTTTTTTTTATCGTGAATAACGTGATGATTTCTTCATTTGTTTTGACTCTAGAACTGTCGGCTAAATTACAGAATACGCAGAAGTACATCTGCAGCGATTGGAAGACGCTGGGAAACCAGCCGGCAAATTTACTAGCAAATTTTGGCCTTGAAGGAATTATCTCAAAGCGTTTTTTTGCTCAGAAGACGGCTCTAAAGTTCGAACTACTCTTTCATTGTTCACTGTAAACGATCCTTGCCAACTCCCTTCTGTGAATTTTGACATGTCACTGCGCCCAACCGTCACGCACACGTAAAAATTAGGCCAATCGTGCGGCTCGTAAGAAACCCGTAAGAAACCCGCCTATCAGAAACGCTCACATATGTCCTTGCGACTCTGCAGGATATTAGAACGAGCTTTTGTGCACTAATTCGCAGACGGACTATACAAAGGGTTTAGACGAGTGCGTGGGCCGGCTGCAACGCAGGCTACTGTGGTGGCAATTTTTCCAAAACTTTGTTTATGGCGACGTAGTTTATGCTCAAACTTGGGAGGTATTGGCCTGTAAAAACTGTATCGAGCCACCTTAAATTGAGTAAGTTTGTAGCTGGTCACGTGACCAAAATGTGATTTTTAAAATTATGAATTACCTCTTTCTGAACACAAATTTTGCACTTAAACTTTAAGGAAAATGTTGAAAAGTTGACATGGGAACGTTTACAGCACATCTGAGCATAACTATCAAACGTTTAACAAGATCTAAGCAAAAAGTAGTTTTGGTCGCCATGTTGGAGGGCAAGAGTATGATACCACTTTGTTGAAAAATCAAATTGCCATAAAATATCTCCCTTAAATGCATTTCCTCTCAAATTTCGGGAGTAAGATAATTTTTATGTTCTTTGTCAATTTTTGGCATCAGCAAGATTCCATCTTACTTTTTTATCAAGAAACAAGGAATTTGACAATAGTAATTCACTAAGGATGATGGCCGGAGTTACACCACATGAAAAATAATACCACAGAAATCACCTAAAAACCGTTGTTACTTTTTGTATTATGTCAGCTTGACGAGTCATAAAAGTATTTTCTAGTGAAAGAAAAGGAGTTCTTCTATTGATTCAAAGTGTGCGGCTTTGTTTGTGAATGTGAGGGGAGTTGATGTTAGCAAACTTCAGGTTGAAAATCAGGCCATTTTGAGACTCCGACCTTACTTTTTTTTACATAAAAGGCCTTTTGTGAGAACAATTTTCGTCAGATTACTTAACTACTTAAAAGCTATCTATGGACAAAAAAATGAAAGAAATTGATTTTTTAACTCCTGCCACTCAATGCTCGATATTTCCTGACCATCGCTCTTAATAGGTGAGACAGCGACATTCACAGACTGAGTTAGAGATGTCTAGATTGAAACACTGTCAATCAGATTGACCATATCAGCATCAATAAGAAATGGCAGAGGTCTGTACTGGATGTCAGAGTCCTTCCCTAGTCAGATGTTGGCGGTAATCACTACCTGCTTATAGCCAAGGTCAGGTTGAAATTATGAGCAATACCTGCCACCAAGCAGCAGTTCAGAGTAGTGAAAATCAAGCTTTGTGCCCTTAATGTTAAAAGGGAGTTCACTATTGAGCCTAGAATTCGCTTCGATCAGTCCACTTGAAATTGAAGATGGAGATCAAGATGTTGTTGAATCAACCTGGAGTGACATCATAAGAGTGTGTAACAAAACCGCAGAGAGCGTCTGAGACAAGACAGAAAATTGACAAAAGGAGAAAAGCCAAAGAGATCCTGACATGTGCCCTAGACTGATCCTGCAAGTGAATGAAGTATATAAGATCAAAGATCAGCAGGTTACGAGGAGTGCCCAAAGGGACAAGAGCCGGGCCTTTGTCAGGGTGCAAAGAAAGTCATTTTTGCAGCTTGCCATTCGGGCAAGCTGAAGCTAACATTTATTAGCCCAAATATCATTTCAACTAGCCCCAAAGACGTTTTTATGAGCAGATTGATTTCAAAGTTCTTCTGTAATTTGAATTCCTCAAAAAAATTCACTTGCCCATCTGGCAAGTTAATAACAGAATTCACTAGCCCGATAGCAAAATCCACTAGTCCCGGGCTATCGGACACTATTTTCTTTGCATGCTGCTTTGTGGAGGTGTTAGCTGGTGAAGTAGAGAAGGCAGCAGATAAGGGAGACCTCAACACTGTTTACAAGATAACTTAAAGCTGTTAAGTGGACAGAGTAACACCTACATTAAGCCAGTCAAAAATATGGAAGTGAAAGTGATAACAACAACTGAAATGGAAAAGGCTTCAAGGTGGATCCAGTACTTCAAAGATGTGCTTAACAGGCCAGAGTTTAATGACATTGCAGACCCAGACCCTTCAGATTATCTCAATATTAACGCCAACCAACCCTCTCAGGTTGAAGATGAGACTGCAACCAAGGCAATGAAGAATGGAAAAACTCCAGGGATTAATTCACTTCAAGCAGAAAAGGCCATTTGCACTAAGAGGTCATGTGACATCATTTTTATGCAAAGAAAGTTATATGATTTTGACTTCAAAAAACTATCAGTGGGTCATATTTTAAACAAAATAATTGTGATTTAGTTTTTCTAACCTGCACCATTTTCTTAAAATGAGTAAGTTCACAGCTGGTCACATGACCAAACTGGTTTTTAAAACTATGAATTACCTCTTTCAGAACAGAAATTTTGCACTTAAACTTCAAGGAAATTGTTGAAAAGATGACGTGGAAACATTTTCAGCACATCTGAGCGTAACTATCAAACATTTTACAAGATAGAAGCAAAAAGTAGTTTTGGCGGCCAAGTTGGAGGGCAAGAGTATCCCCTCCAACGTGGCGGCCAATACAAATCATACTACTTTGTTGAAAAATCAAAGTGCCATAAAATATCTCCCTGAAATGCGTTTCCTCTCAAATTTCGGGTGTAAGATAATTCTATGTGCTTCATCATTTTTTGGCATCAGCAAGATTCCAACTCATTGTTTAAAGACAGCATTGGTGACGTGACCTCTTAGTACAAGTGGGCTATTACTAAACTCAGATGGTTGTTTCTAATATCTTTGCTAAGATCTGAAACCATGAAGTTATTCCTAAAGACTGGAGCACTGGCCGTATAATTATTCAAGATTTCGAAGATGGGGGACCTCAGCAATTGTGAAAACTGGTGAGGCATAGCACCTCTTTAAATTCCCAGCAAGATCTTTTGCCGAGTACTCCTCCAAAGGATTGATAGTGCCATAAATTCAAAGTTGAGGCAGGAATAGGCTGGATTTCGTAAAAGGCAGAGGTTGCGTAGATCAAGTCTTTGCTCTTCTTAACAACATTGAACAGTGCATTGAATGGAATCATTCCTTGTTTATGAACTTCATTGACTTCATCAAGTCTGATGTATGACAGGGTTGTATTCTCTCTCCATCTTGTTTCTAGTAGCCATCGACTGGGTGATTCATGGAACACGCTCAGACCGTCCCTTTGGAATCCAATGGACTTGTGTTTTCATATTTGTTAGACCTTGACGTCGCCGAAGAACTGGCAGTCATGTTGGCTGCTCTTAGTCATCTCTACGAAAAATGCAACTCACTGAGCAATATTGCCCTAAGTGAGAAGTAAGTGTTAGTGTTTGCTTAGGGGAGGGGTAGGTGGACACAGAAAGTCCCAGATGCTCATAGGGACATCACAGTTCACTTTAACAAAGCTAGAGGTGTTTTCAGTAGACTCCGCAACATCTGGAAGTCTAAGCAATACAGGCTCAAATTACAATAACGATGTTAAGGCTGCTCTTTTGGGTGGCTCTATGTGCTGGAGATCATTACAGTGGCCTTCACAAGATCTGCAATATCTACTGGCTTGACAAGGTCACCAAGGTGGAACTGTTTAAGGAGACAGACGGTATGAATATGTCTCTCACAACTAAGAACCGCAGGCTTTGATAGGTTGGTCATGTCCTAAGGATGCCCAGTAACACCCAAAGTGTCCTTGAGATGGAATCTGGGAAGACCAAAGGAGGCCGGCCAAAAACCACGTGTTGAAGAACAGTGATGAAAGAGCTGGAGGAGATGGGTGTAACATGGGGCAAAGTGCAGACCAAAGCTCTGGACAGGGTTAAGTGGCAATGTTGGACATGATGAGCGAGGGTAGAGGACATTTGATTATTTTTAATAGGGAAAATTAATCTCCATACCAAAGCATCAACCAAAGGACAGGCATGCCTGATTAATAAAACAACCTGATAGTTACTTTCCATACAACACAGGGTAACCAAATGTGATACCTTGTATCAATATCACACAAAACAACCCAATAGGACAATTAGTTGGTTAAAGCATTCAATCAGCAAAACATAAAAACCAACAGCAACAGCAACAGCATCAGCTGATCAATGCAATTAAAAAGAAAAATATTTTCAATTCATCAAACCAGAGGAAAAAAATCACTCTGTAATCAGAGCACTTTAAAGAAGTGAATCACTTTCAGTAAAATTTACAAGCACTTATTTTGAAAGTTTAATTCAGATGTTTCAAACAAAAACAAGGGAACAATGATAACATACACATAACAACAAGTGGATAGAGTAACCATTTATACACATCATAGCAAGTGGTTAGAGCAACAAGGATACAAAACAAAACAAGTGGATAGAGTAACCACTATGTACAACAATACTGACCAATAGATACCGTCAAAAACTGTGATGTTTAAAGCTACCCTTATTGCTGTGTGGTCATCTCAACCACAGGGTACCCGCATAAGCTGATTGAGTGACTTTAACATGCAGACACATCATAACAAGTGGATAGAGTAACCACTATGCACAACAATACTGAACTGTGATGTTTAAAGCTACTCTTATTGCTGTGTGGGTACCCACATAAGCTGATTGTGTCACTTTAACATGTATACACATCATAAGCTGTGGTCATTCCACTCATACACTTAAAGAGGTAGAATTAGTTTTTTTTTCTAAGATATCACTGCTTTCTTATCTCTTGGTGATAACTTAAGTGCTTCATGGCCCTGGAAGCAATCCTACACACAGGGATTAGAAAATGTTAAGCAACTTTCATAATAATCTCGGTTATTACTTTTGAATTTCATTCAGGATTGAAAAGAATGCCAGTAGTTAAATCAAAATTGATTTTAAATTGCATACGATTACAAAATTAATGCCGGTCAGGAAATTTCAATATGATACATACTCTTGCCATGATAAAGGACAGATAATGGTGAAACATTTATGCACTTCAATCACCTCATTCAATTCCATATAATTTCCATTTATCGTTTGGCGATGGAAGTTGATGATCTGATTCCTTGACCTGTAGTTAAATCAATGATGACATACATCCATTTAGAAAGGAAAAAATGAAACGATTATTTGGTTGTTACTTGTTTCATATTTTATTTATGTACATAAAACAGATATTAGTAACTAATATATTGCATGTTTTTTTATCCAGCTAGCTGTGATTCAAAATCTTGGAATTTTTTGGTCAACAAGAGGATTTAACTTCTACTTATTATATTGGTGAGTTTATCATTTATGAATTTGTTTTCCTAGGGTCCCAATTTGGGGTAATAAGTTAGGACTTTTGAGACAATTTTTCCTTGCTTGCCCATAGTTTTTTCTTGTTAAGTAAACTGGAAAATTCATCAAAACAAACAGTATAGTATCCTTTTTGTTAGTTACATCCCACGTAGAAATTAAGTCAATTTCGTATCTCTTTCTCAGGCAACGCTTGCGTGGCCTAGTGGATATGTTCTCTTTCTTTAAATTAAACACACGTCGACCGCTTCTTCCCCGTCGCTGTTTAATTTAGTTTGGATGATTTGTGGGGGTGGTTTAGCTCCTGGTTGAATCTGTCGTTGTTGGGTGTTTTGTTTTTTTTCTTCAAGTTCTGAGAAAAACTTCGACTTTAATTTTTTTTTGCCTTTTTTTTCTTCTTTTTAACCAGTACGAGAGTTCTGATATTTTACTCTCTTTTGCTGGTTAAAAAAGAGGGGAAAAAAAGGCGAAAAAAAATTTTAAGTCGAAGTTTTTTCTTAGAATTTGAAGAAAAAAAAGCAAAATGGCCCGACAACGGGGGTTCAACCGGGGGCTGAACCCCCTTGATAAGTCACTCAAACTAAATTAAACGGCGGCAGGGGGGGAGCGGCCGCCTTGTGTTTAATTTAATGAAAGTGAGCTTATCCACTAGGCCACGCAAGCGTTGCCTGAGAATGAGAGGCGAAATTAACCTAGAAGTAGGTACAGGCTCCATTGTTCTCGGTGAATCACGTTGATTACTCATAATTTATTCACATCCCGTGCGGAATGTCTTGTTATTTGAAACAACAATCTTGAATATTTACAACTTAAACGGCACCAAAAAGCAGTTGTTTTGTGAAAACTTAAACAGAGTAAGTTTTCTCTACTAGTTGCTTGTATCTCTGAATAACTTTTTGAAGAACGTGCAGTTTTATTGAGAATGTTCTTGTTGCGTTTATTAGTTTCAATTTATTCATGTCCCGTGCAGAATTTTACCTAAGAAAACTTAATATTCAAAAACGATTTGTGCATCTATTTATTTTTATCACGTTTTGCTGTTGTAAAACGACTGTAGAGTAACGCTTTCGTTTGTTTGTTTTTTATCAGGCGCTATGGTGCGAATAGTGATTCAAGAGAAGGACGAACAGAAAATGTTTTGAGAGTGTCGCTAGTCAAGAAGAGTCAAGAGTTGTAATAGAAATAAAGTTTATTTGAACGCTTTGAAGATGTCAATTGTGTTGTTTTTATTGTTAAGACCGCAAGAGTGAAGACAAATTTTTGACAAAGTGTGAAAGAGTAGTATAGTAGTGTATAAGAGTGAAGACAAATTTTTGACTAAGTGTGAAAGAGTAGTATAGTAGTGTATAAGAGTGAAGACAAATTTTTGACTAAGTGTGAAAGAGTAGTATAGTAGTGTATAAGAGTGAAGACAAATTTTTGACTAAGTGTGAAAGAGTAGTATAGTAGTGTATAAGAGTGAAGACAAATTTTTGACTAAGTGTGAAAGAGTAGTATAGTAGTGTATAAGAGTGAAGACAAATTTTTGACTAAGTGTCAAAGACTAGTATAGTACTGTATAAGAGTGAAGACAAATTTTTGACTAAGTGTCAAAGACTAGTATAGTACTGTATAAGAGTGAAGACAAATTTTTGACTAAGTGTCAAAGACTAGTATAGTACTGTATAAGAGTGAAGACAAATTTTTGACTAAGTGTCAAAGACTAGTATAGTAGTGTATAAGAGTGAAGACAAATTTTTGACTAAGTGTCAAAGACTAGTATAGTAGTGTATAAGAGTGAAGAGAAATTTTTGACTAAGTGTCAAAGACTAGTATAGTAGTGTATAAGAGTGAACATTTGTGTCCAGTTTAAACAAGTGCGTATTTAAACGACTAGTTGAAAATAGAAACTAGTATTTGAATACTGTATGAAAGTAAAGAAGTTTCTCATTCTTTCTATGAAGTAACTTCTTTCCTTTGATACAGTATTCAAATACTAGTTAATATTTACATCTAGTCGTTTAAATACTTACTTGTTTATCCTAGCGAAAATAAACTTTATTTCTTTTGCAAGCTTTGATGCGTCATTTATTGACTGAGACAAAATTAATCTTCTATAATTTCTTGAGAAGAGTCTTCAATATCAGTTTTCCTCTTGTAAACTTCTTAGTGGACCACTAAAAAAAGAACAGAGAGAAAATTCAAGTCAAAAATAATTTCGCAATATTGCGTTGTGTTTACCAGCTAAAACAACTGAAATATTCTACAATGCGATATACATTCTTCACGGACTGAATAAATTATGACTAATCAACGTTATTCACTGAAAACAATAGAGCCTGTACCTACTTCTAGGTTAATTTTGCATCTCCTTCTCAGGCAACGCTTGCGTGGCCTAGTGGATAAGTTCGCTTTCTTTAAATTAAACACAAGGCGGCCGCTCCCCCCTGCCGCCGTTTAATTTAATTTGAGTGACTTATTGAGGGGGGTTCAGCCCCCGGTTGAACCCCCGTTGTCGGGCCATTTTGCTTTTATTTTCTTCAAATTCTAAGAAAAATTTTGACTTAAAACTTTTTTTTCGCCTTTTTTTCTTCTTTTTTAGCCAGAAAAAGAGTCCAAAATAAAAGACCTCTCTCTTACTGGTTAACAAAGAAGAAAAAAATAAGCAAAAAAAATTTTCAAGTCAAAATGTTTCTCAGAACTTGAAGAAAAAAAAGCAAAAACAGCCCGCCAACAGAGTTTCAGTAGGGAGCTAAACCACCTCAACAAGTCATCCAAACTAGATTAAACAGCGACAGGGAAGAAGCGGCCGCCATGAGTTTAATTTAAAGACAACGAACTTATCCACTAGGCCACGCAAGCGTTGCCAGAGAAAGAGACGCCAAATTAACTTAGTTGCTACATGGGAAGTCAGCGAAATGATTCCTCTCACTTGGTATCAATAAGTGGTATTAAATGTGTGACCCCCAAAAGATTTTAAACTGTCTAAAAGTTCAAGAAAACTGACTTACGTTTTGATTGTAATGATGTCCCGGCTGACTCTCTGCACATGCAGCGCATCTGAAGAGGAAAAGAAACGGCGTTTTGATTTTCTCAAACTCTATACCGGTACATGAATTTCAGCTTTCAAAGACGAAAGCGACAACACATGATTTAACACCACAAATTTTATAACACTACTGAGTATGATTGCTGTTACTGAAATACATTTACCTTGAATGCTTTTTGATTGATTTTGGCAGTATGAGATCTGTCAAAAGGAAAAGACCAGTGTTAAAACATCTATGTTAATTATAACCACTTGAAGAGAGGCCATCCTCGTAATAATCTGCAGACTGGTATGATAATAATTATCATTGTATCTACCTGAAGAGAAAAATCAATGCACAGTTATTATTCTTGGTCTGTCACAATTAACATTCAAGTAAAGACCAAAATAATTGAGGATGAGGGGACTTCTCTGTGAAAATACATGCATATAAATTAAAAACAATATAAATAATGTGGACTCAGACAATAATTGGCTTATTTTTCAGTCATCATATGTACACTCATTGAGGTATGACTAGATGTTACCTCAATATTGAAGAAGGAATTCCACCTTTAATGTTATACCTATTTTTCAAAACAGGAGACATATCTGACTTCCACTTTTACCATTTTTTCCTCCGTTTGTGAGGAATCTGCAAATCATTTTTTAGGCTACTTGGTAAAGTTTAATGGTGTATTTTTGTTCAGTTGAGTTACCACACTGTTGGCCACCTGCGAGTTAATCTGTGATGTTGTTTGTTAAGACTATTGTGAGTACCTATCTGACAGTCTACTGTTTGCCAAATTGGCCAGATTTTTTGGAAATAAATCTTTGTTTATGCCTTTTGTAGCTATTTCAAAACTGCTGATGTCAGCATTCTGTAATAATAAAAAAAAAATGGTTGTGTTGAAACAACTGCTGATGTCAGCATTTTGCAATGAATAAAAAATTGGGTTATTTTAAAAATACTTGGTTGTAATAATTAACTGAGGGAGCCTATTCCTCATATGCTCGGTGGTTCCATTGTAGAACTTCTCGTTTTGTAAATCTTTATGGCAAGTCAATAAACTGAACTGAACTGAAAAGTGGAGTGTTATTTCCTACAATCAAGACCATTAAAAGTTAAATATAGCTTCGCTACCTCAAAGCTGCTCACCATGCTTCCTTGACACTACTTGATCCCTTGTTTCCTTGATAAATCTTGCTTAATTCAATGGACCAGAATTGTCCTGCAAGGAAAATTAAAAAAGCAAATTATTAGTTAACAGTAGGAAAGTGGGAGGAAAGTGGGAGGGCCCTTCTCCAGTTTTTTGAAAAAAAAAAACTGGTTAGCAGATTGACTAATTGAGCTTGTATTTTATAGGAAAAAAACAGAATTTTGTCTTTTTCGTTACTTTCTTTTTTCATTCTCTTTCTCTCCACATCTCCAACCTTGGTCAGCTGCTCGTGTAGTTTTCCCCACCATACCCCTGCCATTTGGTTATGTTTTGCTTCATGATGCGAGGTTCCCAGGTCGATTTATATTTTTGGAATTGAATGCCACACTACTTTGCAAGTGCAAGAGGAGTTTATAAGTTGCTTGCTTATTGAAATATGTGGCTGGATACTGGGCCAGCTGACCGGATACTGGGCAACATAGGAGCTCTGCAAAAATATTAATTTTGCGATGGAAACAAAGGCAAAAAAATTAAACTGTCTTTCATCATGTTAAGCACTAAATAGACTTTCTCTGGGTCAAATTTCAGAACTATTGCGACCATAAGAAAGGAAAGTTATTGCACTGTTAAACTGAAGTGGCCGGATACTGGGCAACATACCGTACTATTCAAAACAAAAGGTTTGAAATATATTGATGTTTTATTTAAAACAGATTTTTTACTTCTCAAGGAGGTTATCTGCTAAATGCCACACTAATTTTTAATGCCAAATGCCAATTATTAATGCTAAATGATCTCCCTCCTTCTATTCACAATATATCATCCACACTCCTATTCATAAAGGCACTTTATAAATATTACTTTGCTCAGTACTACCTTATTCAATTTCGATGTGCATGTGTGTGTGTGTGTGTTTTAATGAATATAACGTAAAAAGCTATATACTAGAAAACAATCAATCTTGTTCAAGGGCCACAATTAGTTTTACTATACTAGCTGTGCCCTTTAAAATTCTTTGCTGACCTTATGTACAATACGTGTAGATTTTGTCTAAACACCTTGTATTAATTTATATTGTACAAATGATTGATTATTTTTTTAAAGAACGGAGTAAATAAAAATACGAATACTAATACAAAAGCCACACAAGCATACAAATGTTCCTGGGTGTCAGATTTTCAGTTGCAGGTCTAGATCGCACAAAATTTAGCTTTTCTCAATTACAAAAGTCTTTTGTTTGTTGTTGTCAAGGTAATATCGATTTTACTTAAACAAATTCACTTTCAATCCATAGTCAGTGGTGAAAATTTTATAGGGCTTAGACAAGGATAAAACCACTTTTAAGGCGACTGAAAAATACTGGTATGGTCTCTAAAACACTGCTTCGAAACACCTTAAGGCTACATGACCTTAGCCTACATAGCAAGTGTTTCCGCATAAGTTTGTTAAGATCAGAAAGTTGGGACAAGAGCAAAAAAAAGAGTAATGAAGAGGCAGGGGAGAGAGGGAAACATTTGTCCGCAAATCCCACAATTCTGAAAAACCCCATTTGCCTCCCGAATGCTAGTCTGCTACACAGCCGTTTTTAGTGTCATCATGCAACGCTCCTCCCGACTAACGGCTGCTGAAAATCGAACCACATTCCTTTCCCTTTGTGTTTGTGGTCTAACGAACAAACCAATCATGTATAAGAAACTTGACAATACATGAGCCGCAGGGCGCTAGGAGCGAACACACTTCTCAGTTTTTGACAAATCAATCAATCGTCGCTGAATTTTGATGGGCTCTGTGTCTGCAAGCAACGAAAAGGTTGTTTGCAGAAAAGTTTGTTTTAAACGGTTAACAAAATTCCCAGTGAAAAAAAAAGGTTTGATAGGCCTACAAGACTCTTACCAGGATCGGTTGGTTCTTTTTAACGTGGATATGTTTGATAAATTTCATGTGCCGGATGTGCTCATTGTGTTGTTGTACATGTGACGCTAAGACTGTGAAGACTAAACTCCTAGGGGT